TGCATTGAATGAACTTTTATGCTTAAGCGTGGGAAGTCATTGCACTCTATACAATATATATTTTTCATACCAAATGCGGTCTTCAAGCGCGGTATTAAGACACTTGTACGATTTTGCCGTAGATCAATGTTTAAGGTTACCGATTAAAGTAAGAAAACTGAGAACTGATTGTTGGTAAAAATTTTTTATTTAGTACAATTTTTGAAAAACCAACCTTTCTGATGGGAACAGCGTCTTTAAAATATCTTCTCTTAAAGAATCTAAGCCTGTGTAACACTTAAATGCCTTATAATCAATGTATTCTTACAGTTTCGGACGATTTGATTAATCGTAGAAAAGGTTTTTACGTGTTATTCCAATGGGAAAATACACGCCCGATGCGCGGCCTCATAGATATACCGCGGAGAGGGGAATTCTTAGAAGATCATTACTATACCAAATAAGTACTAAAGTCTGAGTTGGATTCCGGTCGCATTTCGGGATCTTAATTTTTATTACGTGGTATAATATACATATAGCATGTCACCCTCATATACATACTATATAATACATGTGAAAAAGTAAAGTCGGAATTTTTATGCTCTCACTCCCTAGGATTGTTCTATACCGAAAAAATATACCCTTATTTTTTTATTTTGAAATCAAAAAATAATTAGAGGTCGCTCAAAATTTTCCACGTATTTGATATGGGAAAAACAACTTGTTTCGTAGAAATGGTATAGAATTCTTGAAAATCAATATTTTTCATAGTAACCATTTTATAGGTCCGCCAAACCCCCCAGTAGATGCCAGAAAATGCAATGGCGGGATAAAAAAAAATATCTCTTTCATTAAACAATGGTTAAATAAACATTGGGTATTGTTACTGGAAGCCTGCTGAAGAGAACCAGAGTTTTCTGATCGAAAAAATAGTGATTTTCAAAAGTTCTATCCCATTTCTACAAAAGTTGTTTTTCCCCCATATAAAATACATACATGGAAAACTTTGAGCGCTTTGAGCGACCTTTAAATATTTTTTTGTTTTAAAATAAAAAATAGGGGTATATTTTTTGATATAGAAAAATCCTAGAGGGTGACATCATTAAAATTCCGATTTTATTTGTTTTGGACCACATTAATTCGTCATTTATCTCTATACAAATGTGCATTAGCTCCCCGTAAATATATAAAATAAATGTGCATTTAAACTAAAAGTTTACATATTTTTGTCGTTGGTGTGGTGATTGCCGCAGACTTGCGATAAGACAAGAAAAATTACTCAATAGCTGCTGCCTAAATGCACAATTTTTCGGTCTGTCTGGGTGAAATTTTAATTTGCATTTGTTCTTTTTTATCAAATTTATCAAATTAACTCTGTTAATCTACCATTTAAGTAACTAATGCCGAATTTGCACTAGGCATTTAAGTGACAAAAAATATATGCCATTTATAAAAATGCCATGTGGAAATGAACTTAATAATTATTTTTTTAATGTAATGACACGATTTTTTTTAATGCCCGACTTTGTCATTTGTCATTTTGGTCATTTAATGCCTAGTGGAAATCCAGCATAATGTACAAAATTCCGATTCCAAAACAAACAAAAAACAATTTAGAAGTCCTTTGTAACTACTGGTGGGGCATTTCAAATCTGCAAGAGATCCCTGCTCTAGGATATTGTTTTAATGTTTTATTCACCGCACAACCTGCATTCGTTGTAATTGGTCGCGTTGGTTGTAGCTTGGTCGTACGTAATGAGAAAATGATCCTTGAGGACCCCAAAAAAATCTTAATTTCTTCCCTTGAAAGTATGTGGATATATTTGGAAGATTTACCAACCCTTAACTGCCAAAATTTTCTTTTTGACGCAGAAATGTTCCTAGATAAATCGATGCATTTTTGCTCGATACTTTTGGCAGTCCTTCAGGATTTTATATATATCAATTGTGACTTTGTCTTTGATACTATCGTGAAAAGATTGATGTTGGCATTATTGTAAATTTGCTGTCTATCAACCACCTTAAAAGCAAGTTCCCTGTACACCCCTGGTTAGGTTAGGTTAGGTTGCCGCGGTCGTCTGTAAGACACACTTATGCTCCGTGCCATTGTGATATCTTCCAGGTTATCGAAGAATTGTTTACGTAGAGTGAAGAGTTTTCGTCTAGATAGAACAGGTCACTGGCACAACGGAATCGTTTCCTCCTCTTCTTCATATGGACAACTGCTACAGAAGTCATGTAATCATACGCCTAGTCGATAGACATGTCTGCCAATTAGGCAGTGTTATAACCCAGACAAGTGATTTTTTTAATCAACTAATCATGAGTAAATGTTTCGAATTTTGATACTCTTTCTACCACAATAAACAATTTGTGTGTTGGATCTATGAAAAAGCATCTGTGAAGTGCAGAATGAAAGTATATTCAAACGAAAAATACCGACTTAGAAGTTCTTTAAACCAAATTCATTTAAATTAGTTGAAATAAAATGCAGAGTCGGGTACTTGAATGTATCCTAGGACAAGGCCATGTTAATAAAGTTAGTTGCTTAGTATCCAGCCACTGGTAGTTCGTAAATAAGTACTTTTCAAATTGCTTTTAAATTAGTTCCATTTCCAACAGGAAACAAATACTAACAAACTAATATTCTGCTTATTTAAGCTATGTAGTTGGCCAATGCATTTAGCGCTGGGCGCCCGCCATATTTCCTGCCAGTTTTGCAGGTAATTTCGTCATGCCATCTGTCGTTCGCTACTTTAGTGAGAAATAAATTGCCTGCATTTCTGGTTTCTATCCTCAATAGGGAGTTTGGTGCCAAGTCGCGCCAGTTCATTGGCCTTGTAGCTGCCTTCAATGTCACAGTGTCTTGAAACCCAGATCATCTTTGGGCGAAATGACTCAGCCATCTCCTTAAGAGATGTGCGGCTGCCACCTGAGTCTAAGGTATTTTTGCAAGGCAATTTCGAAGAAATTTTTTTTTTAGCCGAAAATAGGGGTCGCTTTTTTACATTTTTCGGTGACACCTACAATCGACAATCACTATTTTTTAAATAGTTCTTCTAGGATAATCAAAGTACTTCCTTAGCAAAAGTTTAATGATTTTGGCGAGCTATGATTTATTGACATTAGCGTGGTATCTTAGGGTTGTAGGAATTTAGATCTAGTGAGAAAGTATCGGAACGGAATTCGTGAGGTCAATGAAATTCGGAACAAACTGTTTGTGTTCTCAAGACAAACACACCGATATATCAGACTGTAAGATTCGACTGTACATAAATACTGAAAATATGACGAATAATTAAAAATGCGATCCTTTGTTCGGCAAAAAAAAATCTTTTCGAAATTGCCTTGCAAAGATACCCTAGACTCAGGGGTGTACGAAGAGGCGTCTCTACATTTGTATGATAACATCAGGACGCACACCACACATTGGAGAACAAGCTCTGCCAAATACTTTTCAAAACTTACCGCAAACTTCCCGTAAATATATATTTTATATATATATAGTATATACGTACTTGCACCTACCAATATGTTGACAAAACAAAACAACAAATTACATTGACACTTAGAGTTTTGGCAACGACTGACTCATTGGACATATGCCAACATCAATATGAGCAAAACTACATTGTATTTAGATTTTTTTATTTAAAAATACAAAAAGTCATTAGACATGTAGGCCACAGGCCGGTCGAAATGGCGAAAGAAATCTTATTTACGTCACTAATTGTTTTAAAAACTATTTGAATGTCTCGTGATAGTCTTTGCACTTTGTGAGAAGTGCCAATAAGCGAACTAACAGGAACAATTATTTTCTTTAATAAAACAAAACTTAGAGCTATCGTGCAAATTTATCAAACTAATTTAAGACCAAATGTGCTAACAGCAAAATATAGTTGAACAATTCTATCAACGCACTTTGATGCAAAGCACTCCTATTCATTTTCTGTATGAAGCTCCCGCTTTTATCCGTTTTATAAAAAAAAAAAACAAAAAACTAATGTAATAGCTTCGCTGTTCCCAGTGCAGAAAATATTCGTAAGCAAATACTGTAGAGTGCGAGTGAATGACTGAAATTTGAAATTATTGTCACGTCCCTGTTGGCGTTCGTGCTGTGGTGTAGAGTTCAATTTGGTCAGTCAACGCAGCATAGAATTGTTTTCAATTTAAATTTATTTGTCGTTATTATTTGAAGCGCACAATTCTTTAATTTTTTTCATTTTTTTTTTTCAAAATGATAATAATACTTAATACCAATAATAACTGATGGCGTTGTGAGCCAAATTTGTTTTAAGTTGAAGGTGTAGAAATGTGACCTTTGGATGAACAGATTAGAAAGCCAAATCAAGATTACCAAATGATTTTTTAAATAAAATTAAATGCTGAACTATAAGCTTATATAATAAGAGCAATAATTCAGTCTTGTTAAATACGTACGTTTGAGACGAATTACAAACATGTTGGAGCAGTACAAGAAATTATACTTTTTAAAATTTAAATCATTTAATACTAAATAAATAAATAAATTATTTATACATATTAATATTTTACTTTAATTTCTATCAATTTACCAGTAAAAGTAGGGTTTTTTATATTTTTCTCATCCAATATTAGGTATTAAGTAGGAAGATGCAACAGTAAAATGGCTATAAAATATAATTTATGTTCTAAAATATATATATATTTTTATTTCCAATATTTTTGTAGGTGGGAATAGTTCTAAAAACTGTACCCAACCAAGGACTGACCTCGTAAATATTGCAAGTGCTAGTTTTCATCCTTTAAAGGAAACTGAGAAGTGAGAACAGATTTTTATTAACTGTTCCCATTGAAACACCTTTCTTAATAGCACTTTTCCATGTACAGTTACAGATTCTAAATGTTTTCGTATTACTGATACCTAAAGCTAACCAAAATTTCGATGTTGTATTGAATTACGAAACTTAACACTTATAACAATTACCTTCGTACCGACTTTCTTATTGACATTCTTCTCCTGTTTTCCCGCACTCTTTCAGGTCGCTTCGGACGTGTCATTGTCATACCCAAAGATGGCGATGAAAATATGCTGCGTCGTGAGATCTTCCAAGAATTGCGACATCTGGATGACCTCATACAGAATGCGACCGTCGAGTATGAGGGTGAATTATTCACGTACAAAGATGCCTGTGCGCGCTGGGAGAATGAATGCTTTCAGAATGATATATTGAATTTAGATTTTATAATGGATGATGTGAGTAGCAAAAAAATAAGTAAAAATTTAACTTTTATGCTGAAAAAGTAAAATTTTATTAAATACAAAGATCTTATTTGTCATCGCTCATTTAACCTTTATAAATTCCTTTTAGATCGAATCCGGCGAACTGAATCTCACTTTTCCCATCATGTTTAATCCGGTCACTTGGGATGCACATGCCTTCCCGGTCTTCTTTGGCGGCACAAAGTTGACAGAGGATAATATAATTTTGAGTGTTCCGGCTATACAATTAGTTTATTTTGTGACTGCAGACACTAAGCGGCAAGATGCAAAGTAAGTTCAAGTACCTAAAGTGTATGCAAATTATTATTAATAACTTTTCTTTGCATAACTTTTGCAGAGGTGCCGAATGGGAGGAGACTTTCTTGAAAGTTGTGGGAAAAGCTGAAAATTCCGGCCTCTTTAAACACATTTCCGTGGCATATTTCGCCTCACGTACTTTGGATCATGAGTTAGAGAAGAATACACGTACCGTTGTGCCATATTTTGGCTCAACATTTGCGCTAATGGCGCTTTTTAGGTAAGTAAAAAGAAATGAAATCAAATCCAAAAAAAATTACAAAATTGTTTTCAATAAAATCGTAATATTCGATAAAAAAAATATGCATGTTATATTTTTAAGATAGTAGACGGCATCCGTTAATTAAACATTTTCTCCAGCTCGTGTATGAATTGTATAAGACAATATTAAACACATTAAATGGTGCGACATTTTTCCAAAAACTGTTGTTATTCTCTCTAAGCATTTAATTATAAACTGTTCCCAACCTAAGTTTAAATTTTATTTAAAAAAATGTGAGTGTATATGTTAGCGAATTGAATTTCCTTAATGGATGCAATTACGTGTAAAACTGTTCCCAGCCTAAATTTGATGCGATCACTTGGTATAATCTAGGATGGGCATGTGCGTCCTTTAACTGTATGTTTTTAAATAGCTGTAGTGATTTGCAAAACTGTTCCCAGTCCCCAAATTCATGAGACCGGAGAAACTGTTAATTTTAAATTATCCTTGGCCAGAATAAAAGTTTTAATGATCAAAAATATGCGTTTACGGCAACTGTCAAAGCTTCTGGGCAGATGCAAAACTCGTATGAAACAATTTTTTTAGGTTTTTGCCTTTCTTATATTTTTAAAAATTCGTTTAACTTTCTGCGCACAAATAAAATTCATTAAGCAATAATTTTCAACTGGTAACAGTTCGTATGCTATATTAGTTTTGAGCCTTCAAAATGTTACCACCACTCATTTTATTGGCATTCCGCTATCTAGAGTATTTTTTGGTGAGAATAATTATTTTTTTATTTTCAAAATAAATTTGAATACTATATAAGAACAAGTTATTGAATATTTTTTAGCTGCTAAGTGTAGGTAGACTATTTATCACATCACTTAAAGCATAAACCTGTAGTAGTGATCATAATCTATATTTTTTTACAAAACAACAGTTAAGTAGGGCTTTTTCAACCCGAGAACAGTTTATGTCGAAATTTTTTATGAATTTAAAAACAATTGGGCATTGGATCGTTTTTTGGAAGACATGAAGTTGAGACGCTTTGCTGAGCCTGGGAACAGTTGATTTAATGTTTATTTGGTTGTCAGCCAATCTTTTTTCATATTGGTATAGGGATTTAATATATAAATACCTCATTTTTATATGGGTTTAACAAAATCATTGACTGAGCCAGTTCATTTCCAAGTAGTTTTTTTTTTATGAGGCTCAGCTTATTTAATATCAATTTCTTGTTAAACAAAAATACACTCACATAATTTTATATTTATAATCAACAGCTTTTAAGCAGATGAAAATCCTTATAAACACATACATGGTGATGTAAGTAGGGTATTTTTTCTATAATTGGGGCTAAGAACAGTTTATTTGTACGTTAACTAATGAATCATTGTAGCTTCGTCTCTTTAAAAGTAGCCGGACATTGGAAATGGTTAAAAATTGTGTTTGTATGTAGTTAAAATTGCATTTCAAGGCATTTTTAAAAGTGAGAACACTTTTTGGTGCTGGGATTTTCTAATTTATTTTATTCACTTTTAACCGCACCTATTTTAACCATAAAAAACTAACAATTAAAGAATTTAAAAAATGGGAACAGTTTATTTTCACTTCGTTTTAAGTTTCGTTTGGTAGACAATTCCCTGAAACTTTTTATAGGGATGCTTTTTTTATCGGGAAAAAAAATTTAAATGAGAACAGTTTTTTTTTGGATTAACTTTTTAAAGGTCTGTTATGTATGTCCTACTTGTATTTTACAGTAAAATATTAATGCAAAATAACTCAGAAAGTCACAAAGTGAGAACAGTTAGTTTTTATGAGAGCAGTTTTGTTTACTCAAGTACACAAATTTTGGATGTCAGTAATTACTTTTAGATAGTTAGCAAGCTACTCATCACCTCCCGCGTATCAGTTTCCATATTCTTAGTTACTTACTAAATAGATAAGTATTTATTGTTTCTTTATTTACGTTTCACTTAATTTACAGCGTCATCACTTGCATGATGGGCGATGCCGTACGCTCGAAACCATGGCTCGGTCTGATGGGTAACGTCTCGGCAATCATGGCCACTTGCGCGGCCTTCGGACTGGCCATGTATTGTGGCATTGAATTTATTGGTATCAATTTGGCAGCGCCCTTCTTGATGATTGGTGAGAAGCAAAAACAAAAACAAAACAATACTAATGTGTCACACACATAACTATTCATACATTCATATGTACATTAAGGTGCATCACCAAAAAACAAGTAGCGGTTTTTCCACCGGAATCATAAAATTTATTATATTTAAAGACTTCTGGCAAATATTAGGAAAAAAATATTATTATATAGGTGAGAGGGACGATTTTGAAAATACATCCAAAAATTAAAAAAAAAAAAATGGGATGCAGACCTTTTAAGCTTCAGTTATCCTACATATGATCTGAGGTGTTTCTGTAGAAAAATTTTTATAAAAACTTAATTTATTTATAAAAAACTAAACTTTGAAAGTATTTGTTTTCAAATTAGTGCAATTAGTGATTTACGTTATAATCTTAATATTTTTCCAAAATATTTCGGCCGAAGTCTCAAAATATAATAAATTTTTTAATTGCGATCGAAAAACGGTACAAATTTTTTATGGAAAGTTATGCACTCTAATGTACATACAAAATTTAATTTTGTCTTACTTCTTTTCTCACCCACTACAAGGCATTGGCATTGACGACACTTTCGTCATGTTGGCCGGTTGGCGTCGTACACCCGCCAAAATGCCCGTTGCCGAGCGCATGGGTCATATGATGTCCGAAGCAGCCGTCTCGATCACCATTACCTCACTCACCGATCTGTTCTCATTTTGGATTGGCATCATTAGCCCTTTCCGTTCGGTGCAGATTTTCTGCACCTATTCGGTATTTGCCGTAGTTTTCACTTTCGTTTGGCACATCACTTTCTTCGCCGCCTGCATGGCAATATCTGGTTATAGGGAACGACACAACTTGCACGCGATTTTCGGTTGTAAAGTGCAGGCAATGTCGGTGGCTATAAAAGGTAAGTTTAACTGGGAATTGTGAATATGCAGTAATAACCTTGCATGTACGAAGAAAAAAAAAACGAATTAGCTCTTGTATTATGTGGTTGTAGTTGCTATTCCGAATGGTGGTATTTGTGTTATTGTTATTTTGCTACTATGCCACCTACTGCATGCGACCCACAATCCGACTGCGGCTGCTCAAAACTTTCACAATCCGCTAAAATTACATGTAGGCTTAATGCTATACATATTTTTATTGTATTTACTGTGAAGCAGTAATATTCGTATAAAGTTTTCAAATTTTTTGTCAAAAAGTATGTGTGTATGACGGTGCTGCATGCTACAACAACCATAAACATGTATTGCCGTTTATTATCACTGCGGCAGCGACTGTTAAATTGTCAAGACACATTTTCGCCATATCCATGGTTCATTAAAGTGCCGCTGCGACGACTGGCATTTCGTTTGTAGACATCACTTTTAGTTTTATTTATTTTATTTTTTTGTTTATTTAAGTATTTATTTGTTTTTTTAATTTGCGTTGCCTTCTACATAGTGCGTTCAAACTATTTTTTTGTATTTTGCTTTGTTAGCCTCCATGTAAGCTGTTCACACTTTTTTCCTTTGCATTTTCTTTTCTGCAGCAATTGGAGCCGACGGTTTGTTGCTTCAATCTTTTGTTTATTGGACTTTGCCTTCGAGTTACTTTGCAATTTCGTGTTTGGACCTGTTTTTTTAGTCTTTACTTTTATTTGTGTTTTGTCTTCTTCCGGCGTGATTTTTTTTAAGCATGCGTCTTGCAATCGCTCTCTGTCTTTATTGTATGCTTCTCAGCTGCTAATTACAACACAAACCTACTACTGGGGTAGCGCTTGATTGGCATTTGATTGAGTGCTATTAGCCACTGTTGAACCGTCCGATTTTTTGGGTATTCACGCATGCAGAAATTATATAAAACAAGTAATTTTTAAGCCATATAAAAATTTAAGATTACCATTAATTTCTTCATGATCCAATGATCGGATATAAACCAAAGTAGTGTGGGACCACCTTCGCTCTTCGGAGTGGAGCGGAGCGGAGCAAAGAAGCAAGGAGCAAAGGATTTTGGCTGGAGCGGAACTGGAGGAAAGAGCTAAAATGTGTTTGCTCTTTAGGTCCTTAATGAAAATTGATTTCACTTATTTGTTTTTGTCACTGACTTTTACTTGACAATACTGTTCATTGCAAAATAGTCAGCGGTCAGGGATAATTGCCACGCTAATTTAAAGGGCGATAAAAAAAACAATGCCTTACCACCCGGCAGAAAAATGTAAGTTTTGCCGACAGTGCGATTTCGTACAATTCTCTGTATCCGGAAGCGAACGGAAAGCGACTACAATTTTCGTTCATTTACGTATCCAAAAAAGTTCAAGAAAAGTGCGGTTTTCGTATCCGGAAATGAACAGAAAACGTCTTCAATTTTCATTTATTTTCGTACCCGGAAAACGTACGAAAGTGATGATGGTATTTGAAACAATAATTGTATTTGTTTTAGTTATTTTATTGTTATTGCTTTATTGTTTTTTTACTTCTACCATTTTTTTTCAAATTATTGTTGCTTTTCCACAATAAGTTTTTCATTAAAAACGGCCTCAATCTCAATAAAATTTTTTTAATAGAATAATTGTATTTTATTCGTTCAAGCTGAACATTTGAAATCGTGTATACGTAGTCAAATACCGGGTCGACAAAATGTTCATCAGACACTGGACGGAATGTACAGGGCAAAGATAAGCCAAACGGTTTATCTGCCCTTTAAAAGACGCATTAAAGAAACTAAATACTCAACTTAAGAAAAGAAGACCACAACACTCTCATTGGGTACTACATGGGACATTGTGCCCTTCGCTATCACCTCAGTAAGATGAATCCTTCAGAAACAAACATCTGTCGCTTTTGTGAGCTGGACGAAGAACCGCCAGAGCAAATTGTCTGTGAATGTAACGCTTTTGCTAGGTACAGACTAGCTCACTTGGGTGGTTCTACACTTAAACCATTTGAAATTTGGCACAAAACGTCCTTGAAAGTACTAGGCTACATTAAAAGCCTTTACATAATCGGGCGGAGGGTCGAGCATAATAGCTCACTTTATAGGCCGCGGTGCATATGGCATATAATAATAGTTCAACTAAAAAAAAATCTAACCTTACCTAAGAAATAATTAAAAATATCCAGGTCCCCTCTCAATACCTCGTAGCAATGGCCTGCGCCAAACACTAGATATACACCCAAGGAAATCCACTCATTTTCTTTGCTCTGGGCTAAATTAATCTCCAATTTCCCATTAGTTCGCATTTCACTTTTTGTGAGAATTACTTTTCAGCTCAGTTTATATTACCTGAATATTTTCACTTACTTACAAACGGACATGTGTACGTGTAATGTATGTACTTAATTGTGGACGCCTATCAGACAACCCATTTGCTAATACTTTCATACGGGCTACTGCAACAGAACTGCAACTCCATCTCGAAATCTCAATTAACCTCAACATAATAAACTTGCTCAATACTCGTAAATACATAGCAAAATAAATACACCAAAGCCTAGTGAGCTTCGTGATCTTGCACATGCCTTAGATGTCTGATAATAAGCTTGTCTTGATCAGACAACCATTTTGCGAGCGATGGATGATTAGTGGCCAACATAACTGGCGTAACTCTTGCACGTATGGGGAGCAAAAGTGGGAGAGCATGCAATGTGCAATGCACCTGTGCAATGATAGCAAAAACAACAACAAGAATAAGTAAATAATAATGTTATTAGAGCAGCAGTGATCGACGAATTGCGGCCAATTGTTGCGTTGCATTAAAGAGTAGAATGGGTTAGTGAATTCAGTGAACTCAAAGCAGTACACAATTATTTTCTAGGTCAATATTAGCAAAGACAGCAAAAGAAAGAAATAAAAAATATAAAAGAAAAAGAAGAAGAAATAGAAATAGAAATAGAAATAATTGCGCACTCAATCACATACGTTTAAGAAAATTGCAGCATTTTTTATCGAACCAAAGCTTGGCAACTTCTTGCCTGCTTACCTAAGTTCTTTTTGTTCCTTTTAATTTTATGCTTTATTTTAAGTTGTTCTAAGCTGAGCCGCCTCTTCTCCTTTTTAATACTTTTTTGTATCTTATTTCTTATCAATTTATTTCTATCCGACACAGAGAAACGCAATTTCTTATACAAAGCCATCATGGCTGGGGGCATCAATCGTGACGATCCCGATAATCCCATTGATAATAAAGATCACATGCTCATGGCCTTCTTCAAGGATCACTTGGCCGCTGTTATCAATAATAAATGGTGCAAAGTTTTCATCATACTTATTTTCGCGACATATTTAGCCGGCGCTTGCTACGGCCTCACACAGATCAAGGAGGGCTTGGAACGTCGTAAGCTGTCAAAGGCTGATTCGTACTCTGTAGAGTTCTTCGATCGTGAAGATGAGTATTATCGCGAATTTCCATATCGCATGCAGGTAAGTCACGCTTGTTTCAGTTCTTTTCGAAACTTTTCTTAACTCTCTGCCACAATTTTTTCTGACGCACAGGTTATCATCACTGGCGATCTAAACTATTCCGATCCCATTGTGCAGGATCAGATTGAGGAGCTGACGCGCACACTCGAGAACACCTCGTATGTAACCTCGTCACTTTACACAGAATCGTGGATACGTTCGTTCCGTTCATTCGTTGACCGCAATAACGACTATCTCAACCTAACCATCGATGATGAACAATCGTTTATAGATGCAGTAAAAGAGCATTGGCTCTTCCCTGGCAATCCCTTCTCACTCGATGTTAAGTTCAACGAAGATGAGACGCGCATTATTGCCTCTCGCTTTCTCATACAAGCCGTCAACATCACCGACACTAACCACGAGAAGGAAATGGTACGCGATCTGCGCAAGATTTGTAAGGACTCACCCTTGAATGCTTCGATATTTCATCCGTACTTTGTGTTCTTCGATCAGTTCGAACTTGTGCGCCCGACATCCGTGCAGTCAATGATCGTTGGCGCGATCATTATGATGATCATTTCCTTCATATTCATCCCCAATATACTCTGCTCGTTGTGGGTCGCCTTTTCGATTATTTCCATTGAGTTGGGCGTCGCTGGCTACATGGCTTTGTGGGATGTAAATCTCGACTCGATATCCATGATAAATCTGATTATGTGCATTGGCTTCTCGGTGGACTTTACCGCGCATATTTGCTACACTTACATGTCGTCGAAGAAGCGCAGTCCGAAAGCGCGTGTACGCGAGGCACTACACTCACTCGGTTTACCGATCGTGCAGGGTTCGACTTCAACAATTCTAGGCATAATTGCACTTTTGCTCGCGCAGAGCTACATTTTCTTGGTGTTCTTTAAGATGGTATTCCTTGTGATATTCTTTGGCGCCATGCATGGGCTTTTCTTGTTGCCTGTGCTATTGTCGCTCTTCGGACCCGGTTCGTGGCAAACATGGTCGGGCACAGACTTGGGCAACGACAGCGATGAGGTAGCAGATGTTGAGAGTCCGATGAAGTTGTCCAGCATGGACAAGCTAAACTCCTACTATCTGCAACAGCATACCCCGCTGGGGCTGCCAGGTCCCTACGGCCCTGCTAAGGGTTTTCTCGGCACACCTTACAAAGCCTACGGCGATGAAAAGGATTTGGGTATCGGCACTTCGGGCGAAGATTCTTCTGAAAGCAGCTCAAGCCGTTCACAACGCCGCCAAGCGCTCGAAGATGAGCACACACGCCGTCGCTACGAAGAGGGCTGGCGTCGTTCCTCTTACCACAACCTTTACACCAACTCACAGTCACAATTCCAGCCACACACTGACCTCTACGGCCAACAGGTGACTGCGCAGGAGTGGCGCGCACGTCTCGACGTAGAACAGGAACAGCGCAAACGTAGCGCCCTGGGCATGCGCGCCTACGACAATTTCGCTGCTGACTTCATGCACATGGAACGGCGCCAACCCACGCACGCCGGTGATGATATAGTCGATACACCAGTGTCGCGCATTGCTGCCGAACGCAGCACGCCTCCCTCCTCGCTAGATGAACGCGCGCGTCGCAACTATCGTCCTTCTATAGCTGCAGCGACGGCACATAGCGCTGGTAGTGGCGACGATAGTAGCTATCATCAGCAGTTGAGCGCTGCGCCACCCACAACGACAGCAGGCAGCTCCGTGAAACGTTACCATCGTCGACGCTCCTCAGAGGACTCCACACGCCACTACCAACGTTGGCCGCCATCGAATATTGAAGAGCGTTGTGCACGCCGCTATGCCACCACCACCCGAGATGATGGTGCAGCCTATGTGCCGACGCATGCTAACTCCTCCCCAGCCGCCGTCAATGTCTACCGCCCACATCCGCCAATGCGTTCCTCGTCGCATCACAACTTGTACTATCCGAATGGCGCGCAGCAACCGCCAACATATCAATATGGCGGCCACTACTACAAATGATGATGACGACGACGATAGCATTAGTCGAGGCTAGAAATGAAGCCGGGTCTCAAACCTCAATGACACGTCACTGAACTATGCACTTTGCCGGTTCCGAACTGGGGACTATTGTACGGAAATAACTACCTATCGATTTTTTTTATAATTTAACTACTGTTGTTTTTTTTCATAATTTTTTGTGCAAGGAAGCCGCTAACTATAAAGTCAATTGCGAGAAGAAAAATGTGGTTAGTTTCATACGTAAGCAAATCTAGACAATAAATAGGTACTAGGAATAGGTAGAAAGTGTTTACAATTAGCATAAATTGCAAGTAGTTATAAGTGCAAAGGATGTGTAAAATTATCCTAATGCTAGGGATCGCAGTGGAAATTATCTGTTAAACAAACATTTATAGAAAAAATATTTTTTCTGAACTTTAATTGAAATATCACACTCACGAGGAAAAGTATTGGCATAGAGAATGTTTCACAATATATGCAAACAATTTTGAGTATGCGGTTTTGTAGCGCTTGCCGTTAATTTTTGGCAATTTTTCACACTATTTGTATTCTCAAAAATTTTAATTTTCGAAAATTTTAATTCTCAAAAAACAACGCAAATTTTTTAACAACTTTAAATTTGAATTTCCACTTAAGTTAATGGGCTACAAAACTTGGTACTCAAAAAAATCTGATTAAAAAGTTCAATATTTACATGAAACCCCATTGAACTTTCCCGAGTTTTGCACAAAGTTTTGAAATTATATGTTTATGTTTTTTTGTGGTTGTATGAACCATATATTTATAAAAAAATGCGGTAAAAAATTTAAATAAAAATTGCTGCTTAATACTTTTTGCCGTGAGTGTATATTTCAAAACTTTTATCGGGAAACTATTACTTTTAAATTACTTGAGAAAAAAATTGGGCGTAGCACTTTTTAATTGAATAGAATATCGTTAATTTTTTTAATTTTAAATTTTTTCTAGCTGTTTTTCAAATGCTTTTTATGATTTTTTGAAGATTGACAACAAGATTCTTCCCTCAAAAGTTACTGCGATAAACGAAAAAAAAAAATAGAATAACTAAGTACCATTGGGCACATAAAGATGGAGTGCTCAAAACTCGTAAATATTTTTAATACAAATTTTGGTTGTCCTTAAAAATTTGTGAATTTTCGAAGTTTTCGATGCTTCTCCAAGTTTAGCGAAGTAACTCGAATATATTTTTTAATAAACAAAGTGCCTTTCTGTGGTTAAGGATAATTATTTTTTTAATTCTGAAAAATACTCATTCTTTGCATAGAGTAAATATTTAAGCATCATTCGCAATTATTTATAAACGCGCTTTCAGCATTCATTTTTTTTTATTTAAATTTATTTGCACCATTATGGAAATTTTATTTTTTTTAACTCTTGTACCATAATTTTATTTTTTGTAACTCTATGTACCATTATTTTTGATTTATTTCCAGTAGCATTAAATAGATACATAAGTATACATATAAAATAGTTGTTTATAATTAAGCTTAAGTTGAATAAATATTTTGAATAAATATATTAAATTTTTATTTCCACAGAATTTGATTGTTTTCTTATTCTCAGTGCATAACTTCTTCTTTCAAACTACGCCAAATGCCCACATCCTTTGCGAAATTGCGAAAGTTATTCGTACCAAGTTCAGGTCCTTCTGTACTTAACCTTTGACGTCCAGACTGACGACGTTGTTGGTGGCGTCAAGAATTCTCTCTTGAAACTTTAATTGAGATATATGGTACAGGAAATTATTTAAATATTTTAGATGCAAACCACGTACCGCAACACAACAAAGCAGTAACTCTGGACAAATTGTTGTGCACAAATCCGCTACTCAATGAAATACTTGACGTAGTGATGCGAGAGTCGACACTTTGTAAAATGCTTAGTATGGATTAACGCTCTAATTTTTTTCAAAAATAATTACAGCAGTTTACATTCTTGCCTCGTAGTATTTCGTTTTAAAATGCGGCATTGAAGAACTCGGTGGAGAGTGATTCACTTTTTTAAACATATTTTATCTCGAACTTCTCGAAGAGATGCCATCACAGAAAGTGTTTCCAGTCTTTCATTGCTATTCGTCCGGTTAGATAAAGACCTCAGAGTTTTTCAAAGACTTTTTTCTCACCAAGCCAAACACCATGCCTTCAAGTGCTCTCCGAATTGAGGTGCCTGATACGTGAAATTGTTTTGCTTCCGAACTTTGTTGGAGTTTTTTCTTTTTGATTTTTTCAGGATTTTCCTAGTTTTTTCGGGATTTTTCCAGTTTAGACTTTTTTTTTAGAACTTAACTTTGGTTTATACATGCTGTATGCCTAAAAAATATAAAATAAAAATCGCCAGTTAGTTGCCGCTCAAAACAAATGTAGTTTCGGCACTGATTGCTCAGAGGGCACCTAGTCTTTACCAATAAAACCATATGCATATGTATGTACGTTCGATAGTATGAGCACAGCGCATATGGGAGCAGATTACTTTCTCGAAAATCGACATTTGGAAGCATTTTCGACAAGGAACTACTAATTTTCTAGACTTTTTGAGTAACGTAATCTGTGCTTTGTCGCAAGCTTAACCTATCGTCGATAACTACTTCTACGTACTTCAAGTACATAATTTTATTAACTAATACAGTGCCGATTTTAAATTCTAAATACTCTGATTTATTGCATTCTTCCGCTAACGATGGACCAACCTTGGTCGTGTATAGTAGAACTAATTAAGGCCGAATTCGCTATACTCTGTATGTTCGTGGCGTGGAGTCATGTGTCCGTTATAGTAACAGTATCAACTGAGACAGCGAACGGCCAAAACTTCGGAACGGCTACAAGACTGACCACGGCGTCGGAGCTGGAGTGTAAGTCATACAACCCCATAGGGCAAGTTAACTCCCAGTCCGAGTTGCATGCCATTGAACTAAGCCTGAGGCAGTATGTAGAAAATTGGGCGACCAAAAACACATCTTCAAATACAACGGTGCTAATCGCTCTGAAAGAGCATGAGGTTAGCTCAAATTTGGTGTGGGATTGCCGTCCGATTTTAATATTTATCGCGTCCAGGAAGCGGATTTATTTCATATGGGTTCCCCGGTGATCTAAAAAAATACTGCACTGGGATACATATGTAGGTCCTGGGACCTTTATTGGTTTGCTATCTTTGGGCGAAAATATTTTATGTGTGTGCAAAAGGAATAGCAACTGGACAAGTACGAAAGGAAACAGATGGTTGAGTTCTTCATCATATAAACATCAACTAGGAGAATCGAAACATTCCTTCACCTTAGTAGGCATGAAGTTAGAATTGTTATAGGTTTTCTTAATGATCACTGCAGCGCAATCAAAACCGTTGTCAAACAAAGAGTTTTTAACTCCGATTAGGGTAGGTTGTATCACAAAAAACTGGAGAAAGCAGAGCGCATCATGTGAAGCTCTCACGAGAGGTTTGCTACAATAGATCATACTTGCCCGCTGTAGCTAGGGAACCTGTTTCCTCCCCTAAATCTAATCTAATTTAATCTAGATCATGAGCAAGACCAGCAAGTTGCGGAAAGAGAGAGAAATATAAAACGAAAACTTCACTTCAAAACTTGTTCAACATCACTTATTAGGATGAGCATAATTATTGTGAGATGACTTTGAACAATCCATTGCTGCGATGGCGCAGTACTGAATTGAACCTCCTTTCCAGCTTTTGCTCCGTGTTGCTTTTCCAGCTGTTGATACCACTAAGTCTTGCGATTCTAAATAGTTTTGAGTGGAATTGGAGAAACCCAAATTGGATTTCTGACAATCTGTTTTTTGATAAAAGGAGTCAACCTTCCAAAAAAAGGGTTTTGTATTAGATTCGCCATAAAGTATTTAGAAGGTAGTTAGGGCGGTATGATTCCGGTTCTCCCGATAGATTCCCTGCTTTTTACAGCATGGTAAAATATTATCCAAATGAATCCAAACAAGTTCTGATCCCAGTTGCTCATCAGACAGTTCTTAAAAAAAATCAGATTAGGATTTCAACCAGGTCTTGCGCACCCTCAAAACTACACAGTCCCTTCCACCAATCACTCTACATGAAATCTCCATAGAATTACACAACACAACGCTATTTAATTTCATAAAGTCTAACATTTTCCATTCTCCCATGAAAATCATTAAAGATAGTAACGCGATAAAAGCATAAAAAATATATTTCTACATACATATGTACATACATGCATGCATATAAATGCACAGTATAGCATAAAGAAAATATAATAGATAAGAATAAAGTAAAATGCAACGCCATTGGTTGAATCACGAAATGCATTGAAACGCATTAGGGACGCACCCTAAATTGTGGCAACCAACGCAAGCGAATGAAGATTTACTGAAGGATATTGAGCAGTCAAAGCGAAGCGCAAAATAAAGTAGCTCGTTGCAAATTTGCAATATTATGCAATGGAAAAAATTTCAATGCACACCGAATGGCGACGGCAAAGTTTTCATAAATTAATTAAAAGCGAAAAAAAACTGTAACAAATTTCCGAGAAAGTAAATGGGTGGGTGTGGGAAGGATTGTACATACATAACTTGGTGAAAGTAGGGAGTTGTACATATAAACAGTACGCGTTGAAGACAAAGAGTATTTGGAAAGAGGCAAACATGTACTTACGAAGTGAGAAGAAGGATTGCTTTGAAGGATATAATGTAATATTTCTAAATTAAAGTGGGGAGATATTGTGTCGTTCGCAAATAAATAACAAAATGACCATTTCTAAAGGATATTCATTTTTTTTTTCATTTCGTGCTACTGAGTTGTGTACTTTTGATCATAAATATTTGTTGTGACATGCTCTGCATGCGGTATGCTCAATAGTCTAAATATGCAATTACAATTGCGTAACTATATTCATACCCGTCCCTTACGTCCTCTTTCGTGCTGGTCGCGCGCGCCGTGGTGCCTTAACCAACCTGTGTGCAGCCTTAGATCACGGCAGGAAGAGAGAACGCATCAGTGGGGCCACTTCAACTTTATCAGAGTAAGAATCCACAGAAGTCAGCAGCGTCTGCTCTCGCGTAGGTACCGGGATGAAGTTTTCCAGCCTTGCGACTCCCCACATAAAAATTTATTTCTCTTTTTGATAGGCTGCTTGAACAAATGACGTACCAAAAATTAAAAATTAGATATGTTTTATGACAATTACTTTATACCTTTTAACCTAATAAAAATGAAAAATTTCGTGGGCCTGTATCTCGAAAAATTTACGTCTTACAACAAAAGTGAGAGTGCAGTTAATGAACATTTGAAGACCAGTCCATGGCCTTATATTATATATTTTTTGAAAAATTTCAAAAGTTAAAAAAATTACGCACAGAGCTAATTGAAAAAAGCTGTTACTGCAGCTCAAAACCGATTCACGCCCTAGGAAGAGACCAACCGGGCCATGGTTTCCCACCATGGACGGCTGATATTTCATTCTCCACTCTCAATCTTGTTTAAAAAAAAAAACTGTGGTGTTCGATTATTCACATATTTTCCGAAACCGGTTTTTGAGTTATTCGAAAAATTGCAAAATGAAAAAACCGATTCACGACTTTCAAATTAAGAAAAAAAAAAACCGGATGAACTGGTTTTATTTTACAGAGATTTCATACAGTTTAGAATATAAAGAAAACACGACAATTCGTGAAGTAAATTTGTGTAGGAAAATTTTTTGGGGGAATTTCACCACTTGTATTATGAGTTACGGCAAGATGGACAATCATTTTTTGAATAAAAAAGAACGCCAATTAATACGTTTGATTCCTTTTTTTTAAATTCATCCATTTCCTGAAAAACGCGTTTTTTCACAATTGCAAACAATTAAACACCAACTCATCACAGCAAGCGATTCGTCTTTGAAAACAGTACCGCGCAGTTTCAAGCTGACATGTTTACTGCTGCACCGTTTTTTGTCTTCGGTTTCATCTTCGCCTTCGTCTTAGCTTGCACTGTGATCACTTTCGCATGTTTACTACTGCACTGTTTTTCGTCTTCGGCTTCGCCTGGACCCTGTCTGCAACCCTAAATGTGCCTGCTATTACCCGGAATGTCCATGGCTCAATTTCTGTTCCTACAAACATCTAAAATCTTAAAACTTTTACTGCGAGGTCAAATTTTGTATTAAATAAAAAAAAAAAAACAATATTCGAAAAATCAAGATTAAAAAACCGCCTATAGATAATTCAAAAACAAAACGGTGGAAACCCCAAGAATTTTGCTCCACACTATTACAATGCGAACTCTGAAATTTTAAGGAATCGATGGCACACGTTCAGGACCGTAGCGCCTACAGGGTTAAGATGATTTACAAAAGTGCCAAGGGGGATATTACTAAGGTCCTTGCTATTACGGTACCCGACGCATTGTCATTACAAGCGACTGTGAAAGGTTAGATTCGTGCGAGTAGCATCTGTCGGGCCGGAATAGGCATGTATACGACGAATTCCATTCGCAAGAATCTAATCCTTCACACTCGCTTATTAAGGAAGTGCAAATAGCATCCATCAGATACTGTTATAGCCATGAACGAAGCTATGCCGAAAATTTTTTAATACCTATTTATCACATTTTTCTTACTTCGGTGACTCCCAGTAAAATTGTCTGCTAAGCTTAAAGTTTTGACTTTCACTAAAAATTTTTTTTAGACTTTATTAGCTCACTTAATTTCTCTATTACTTCTTGAGATGCATATGTATGTATGAACATTAATATATACCCACGCTGGACATTTGTTGCAGTTGTCTAAGGCCACTTAATGCAATTGTTGTACGTTTAAAAATATCAAAATACAGTTTACAAACTTACGTACATAAAAAAGTAAGTATGTATGTAAACCCAAAAGTTTTTGCTGCGTTGTCACTTAGCCTTGCTTATCACTCCTTGTCTTTTATGATTTTCTTTTATTATATTTTTCCTTCCCCAGCGAGTACAATGCCATCCATTAACATTACATTAAATACAGAAAACAACAAAATGATTATGTAAACATCGTTTGACATTTACCGGACTTAAGTGAAACTTAACGCATACTTAGCGCTGCGCACAAAGTATTTCAGAAGAAAGAGAGTACAAAATTGTTGCACTTAGTTAGAAATGCCTTTTACGCATCTGAGTTTGTGCTCCGGTTAGTTAGTTTAAAATTTTTTCAAAAAATAAATCAAAAAATACAGCAAGAGGAGGAGGTAGAGTGAAGTAGTTTTCATAGGCTGATTATACTTTTAGAGACTTCAAATTTCTTTGTTGTAATCAACTAAACTTAACCATAGCTCCACGAAGGCTGCAAAGCGTACTAAAACTACACATAGGTTTATTGACTGAGAATATTGAATGTGCTTTCAAAGTTGATGAATTGGTAAGAAAACTACGGCCATCCTCATTCTTACAGGAAAAAAAACCTCTTCACATATTTCTTCCAAAAGACCGATTTCAATACTTTCTCCCCTTTCCATAATATCGTTTAACTTTCGCCACAACATCATCAAGACAATTTCTTCATCATCTCCACTATCTTCATCAGTCGAAATATCCCAATCAAACTCCAAAATTTGTTTAATTTCTCTGTCAGAGAAACCTTTTTCTTCTGGACGCATAACTAAAGAAAAGGAATTTTCATTAGCACTATGGATCAAAATTGCTTATAAGCAACAAAGTTTAACTGAAAAATTCCTCACTTAATAAACAAACCACTAAACACAAACTGAATAACATAATAACAACTTCAGGACTGAAAGGGCTAATGAATCCTAAAAGGTCCTTGGCAGAGGGTTGGAGTCTTAAAATTAGTTAATATTTGTCTTACCAAGGCTGCACAGTCACAAAGAATGTGTCCTAAAATCTCATCGTCCTCATGGCTGAGACGACCTTTTGACTCAGTCATCACACCTTACTATTCGGTACATGTGAAACCCAGAGAGTAGCAGTATGTCTTTCTTGGTTAATAGAACAATATCCCTGCTGTTGAAGGGGTAGTCGAAGAGAATGTTGTCTATGGCTCCCACCGCATCCCAATACTTACTGCGTTCAGAATGTACTCGCTAAGTAATTGTAGCTCTCGAAGAGGACCAACTGAGACTACAAAAATGTTTCGATCCTACTCGTGCCAACTCGTCTGCGATCTCAGAGTATTCCAGTCAGTGATGGAATTTCCAAATTTCAAAATATGCCTAATGGACTGCAAAAATTGTACCGAAAAGGAGATGAATGTGCCATGAAATTAAAATTGCTCCCTTTTAAGGCTTTGTAAGAACAATGGACTGTATGAGTAAAAATTAAGCAATTGCTTTTGCTTAAAATTTTACACCTTTTTCTTAAAGTTATTTGAATAAACCGAGTAAAAGATCTGAAATTTTAAGAAGGAGCAATCGCTTAGGTTTTATTCTTTATATATGTATCTGTGGACATTTGACAAAATAACTTAAGCCTGTCTTTCACGGACATACGAAATAGCATCTTACCGTCAAAGAGAAAAATGTTGCAATTCGAAACAAGTGTTAAATTTTTTTATCGTTCTTAGCCTTTAACTAGTAATTTTTAGCAAAAAAAAACCGACTTCAACTCCCATATAAAATATATATATATATATATATATATCTCATGATCCGCTGATCGGATCTTATCGAGATTAGTATGGGACCACCTCTGAGACACTACCTTTCCGATGCAAAAAGAATTATCGAAATCGGTTGTCGCGGTCCAAAGTTATGCGGTAACATACATAAAAATAAAAAAAAAAATAAAAAAATAAAAAATATTCCGACGGACTGATAACCTCCTCCTTTTTTGGAAGTCGGTTAAAAAATGCTTCTGTTTGCAACAACCGCATATTTCCATTTAAATAAAATTGATTGCTCGGGCGGTAAAAGAGCTTTGCCGTCATATCCTATATTCGTTGACGGTGAAAGATAGACTTAAGTTGTTTTGTCAAATGTCCACAGATATGTATTCTCAGAAATAGCATTTTTGAAGTACACTGAAATGATTACTAATTTATTGAATTATAAAAGTAAAATCAAAGTTAAATAACACAATAGTATTCTAATTAGGAAGAGGAAAAAATATAGCTTTTCTGACCTGTTTATATATATACACACAGTCAGTGGCAAATGTAAATGTACACTTTGTTCTAATATAATATTCACCATTATTTTCATAAAACATTTTTTCATTCAATTTTTATGAAAATATAGTTCATTCTATAACATAAACCATATAAATGATAGTTTCGAACTTTATATAAAGTTCACAAAATTTCAAAAAATGTTTATTCAGAATTTCTAGACAATTTTCGAGTACGTCATTTTATTGCCCGTTCAATTTTAGTAAAACAAAGTAGAAATTTGGAGTCGCTAAAAATTAGCCTTGATTTTTTAGAATTTTTTTGTGGAGGTTGTTTTTCGCATTTTCTTCCAAATAATTCGTGATCAAAATCTATGAAATTGAACGGACTACAAAACTGCATACTCGAAAATTTTCAAGAAATTCTAAATACAATTTTTTAAATTGTTTGGTTAAATATTTTTTGAATTGTTGAGAGCTTTATATGACTATTCTTCTTTATATTGATTAATTTTATATAATGCCCTTTAATTTAAATTTTAAGTGATTTTAATTTTCATTTTTCGAATCTGTAAGTTATATATGATTTTCTGTTATATATTGGTATATTATGCTAAATTTCTATAATTTATGATTGTGCCAAAACTGAGTGAATGGTGCCGAAAGTGCCTCTGTGAATAAAAGTGACAAAAATGAAACTTTTGTGCCTACTTTTCCATCATTGCATTCCATTCCACCGTGGCCTGGTATCCAGCACAGGGTTACCGCTTGTTTAGCTGCCAAAACTAGAAGCGTGTCAAGGCAGTCATCAAACTCCGGCCTGCAATTTAATAACTGTTGGTGCCCACAAAGGTGTCTTCATCCTTTAATATGCGTCCACTCTGTTTTCACCTTAAAAAGTTATATCATTCCGCTACTTAGTTTAGGAAAACAAACAACCGTTCATCTTGAAAATGACCTTTTCGAAGCCGCATTCGAAGTTTTAGGTCAGACGTCAACGCAACATTCTGTCGCATGTATGTAAGTATGTAAGTATGCTGAACTTTAGATAAGGTGTTCGTCTTCAACAAATATAAATAAGTAAGTAAATAACCTAGAAGAAAAACTATTATTCCCAATATCAAAAATATCAATGAACGACTTTAATACTTCCTATTTACTTAGCTTACAATATCAAACAAAAGAATTTTACTAAAGCTAAACATAAAAACATACTTATAAAACTTTCGCATTCCTTCATTTTCGACTATAAATCGGCGAGTCATAGCTCGTCAATGGGCAACGCGTTTCACAAATAAAAAACGCTTCATAATCGCAACGGTTATCATTCCAAAGTCCATTCGTTTTTAGAATAAGACATTTTTCGTTACCTCCAATGTTATTCGGTTCACCAACCGCCCAATTGGCATAGGTGAGAGGACGGCCTGTACTGAACCAAACCCAATTTTTGTTATCAGCGTGTATAGAGCCAGCTAGCCAAAAAGCTTCACGGTTTAGATTTAGACCTGAATGTAAGAAGATGGAAGATCATGGAAGAATGGAAGGAGAAATTAAGGGATACAGTTAAATGTAATATAATAAATTCCAATACTTGCCAGCTCGTGTTAAATAAGCCTGTAGTGCCTGGCTTTCTTCTCTTGAATTAATGGTGGCCAAGGAGAGACCCTGATAGCCGCAGATCTCTTGTGCTCTAAACCAGTTGACCTAGAAAAATATACATGGATTTTATTTGGAAATCTCTGCTGGAAGAAAAAAGAAACTCAACAATCGGCAAGGGCCTGTGCTATTGGAAATTCCTGCAGTTTTAATGCCCAGCACTTTGAACTAAGCAGAGAGCTCTCTGCATTTTTTTGCGAATATTTTGAACAACTAAATTGATTGCCAGCAGTACTCACCGTTGCATACGCGATTACAACAAACATTTTTTCAGTTTGCTGTCCAGGAAAGGCGCGATAGTTGGACTCGTCCAATGCCTGAATGGAGAAGTTTGGAAATATTAAATTCGCATTTGGATCTTCGGTCAAATTTTGTGCGAGTAAATTAATTGCCGTGAAGCAAATACAAAACACCGCTAAAGGAACGTAGTTAAGCATTTTTTATAGTAATAAATAGAAAATTGTTAATAAACTGTCAATTTTGAGTTACAAATTTATACTGTAACTTAACAACACTTGGCAGGGCTTTTATTAGCGCAACGGCTAAGCTTGTTCAGAGATAATCTTTCAAATGGGACATCAATCATTGTCAAAAGGGCTGTTTGTCGTCCATTTATCAACGATGTTCTAGAAAACTGCCAATACTCCCATTAATGAAAGTTGTTATTATTACAAAAACTACTGTTATTCAAATTTGAATAGAATAATAAATGGTTTTATCTTAACAAACGTCTAGTCACGTGTGAAAAACGTGAGTGCATTACGGGTAGCTAAAGACAGGGGCGACTTGCTAATGTGCAAAAGTATAATTATACATGATTTTTACTTTCTAAATCGTCGAAACACGATCTCTCATTAAATAATATGTAGCATGCACTCTATTCGCAGCCTAAGAAGAGCATTTAAAATACTACTTTACTTGTTTTTGGAATTCGGGATAGTGGAAGAAGAGGGGGCAAAAGAGGTGGCTATTCAAAATAAAGAAACGATAGGCAAAAAGATGTAAGTAGGATTAGCTTAAATGGTGGTAGACTGAAATTCGGAGCGAAAATTCTTGCAGATATGATAGTGTAAATCTACCCTTGAGATATGAAGGGCAGTGCTTTTGAATATTGCCTCAGGGCCGTTTTACGAAATAAAAGATCAGTATTCGGGAAGGACAAGACAAGATGGAAACAGGAGTAATGCGCCATAAAACCCGCAGAGAGTTGACGGAATAGCGTCTGAGCCGGCGGCGTAAAGCTAGAGCATGTGCAAGCTCTTAAGCAGAATCTGGCCTGATGAATACATGCCCGATCATGGCAATATCAGTGTTCTTTGCCCAATCCCTAAGAAGTTAAATTCTACTCGACGCAATTCCCCTTTTCATCGATTGTGGAACTTTCTTTCTGAAGATATATCTAAATTTGAATTCCCCTCACAATTTATAGGTTGATCTCAAGTTTTAGCTTCGACCACATTGTGAAAGACCGTTTCACGCCTTTCAACGCCAAAAGAGATGTAAGGCAGACTGAATAGCTTTCTCGTGACTACTTGAATCTGTTGTTGAAAAATTTCTTAAAAATTTTTCTTAATCTGCTCAGCTTTTGCAAAGCTACGGCCATATTGACTGGTGCTGAAGAGCTTATAAAAGCATTAGGATCCAAAGTAGTGAAGTCAAAAATTGTTCGAATACTTCGGGCATAGCCAGCGTCACTGGGTCACGCCAACGCCCCGGTTCAATATGAGACGGTTAGACACTGTTCGGAAATGCAGTTGAGCGAGACGGATAACTCACGAGGGATAACCATCGATTTGCGATCTACAAGTACACGTGACGAACTGAGACGCCTAAAAGCCTCAAGGTCTTTATGGCCGGGAACTTTTGACGGTAAAGAAATCCGCAGTAAAAACCAAAGCTCCAACAACAAGTTTTCTCTGTAAAAGTTGTCGGTATGAGGAACAGTAAGAATTATGAATGTGCCGGATATAGATTTTGCCGGATAACCGGATTCCGGATATCCTGTAAAAAATAACAGCCGGATTCGGATATCCGGTAGACTGCTGCCCTTAATAAATTTCACAATATTGTTTTTTTTTCGGCTCGAGTTCACCTCGACCTCCGCACCGTTTCTGATGCTACAGAATTTACCACTTCGAAAACACAATTACGCACGCATCTGTGCGATACTATCGCAGTGAAGAATGGCATCTTATAAACAAACAAACAACAATCTTCATGAAATTCTTTGCTTTTGAACAATCAAGATGTTTTGTTTTCTTACGTTAATTTTTGTTTAAATTATACAGAACCCGCCTATTAACCTTTTTCGGTTCCGAACGCGTAGGTCTGCAATCTGCACCGTCAGAATGATGCCTTATATGGACCTTACATGGTCACATTGTTTACACGCTTCAAAAAACCCATCAAATTTCAGTTTTTCGTTTTGGATGAAGTTGAAGAGAAGCTTAAGGAAGCTTTGTATTCATTTGTTAATACTAATACTAAGTCGCATACTTTTTCCTTGTTCAATTATGTGTTTTTATTTAAATTATTGTGTAAAAAATTGTTTAATTTGAACTTTGACCCTTAATAACTTTTGTAATTGTTGATCCCGCAAAAAAATAAATATACCGTTATAGTCACCGCAATTATCTCTATCGATCCCCATATATTTTTTTTAAATTTGAGAATCGGAGCTATTCAGCATTTATGACCAAATTTTGCTCAAGTTCTGTATATTTGACAGAAATGCAACTCTGAGAAATTACGCACCCAAATTGATTTCAGTTAATCAAATGTGAAAAACTTGCGTGCTTACGTAGAAAAACTCACGCCGGTAATATTAGTTTAAGCTGTTAGAAACTCAATACACGTCACACATATAATACATACAAAATTTCACTAAACCCATGCACGCAGGTTGACCAAACAATTTGCCCGTGTAAGGTCCCTATTAATCTTGTACTAAAACGGTAACTTTTCCTTCAGCAAACCTGATTATCGATTACTCTTGGGAAATAGAGGAGAAACGTCAAAGACAAAAGATAAACAACTATCTCGTAAAAAAACTATTAATAAAAAAATGTACTTGATTATAGGACTAAACATTCAACAACGACAATGCGTCACTATTACAACATTTTGCGACCCACGTTTCAAAACTCGTTTTTTTCTGACGCCAATAAAGCTAAAAACTGGGTTGTTGATGAACTAATTCGGAATTATAAATCAGTTAGTATGGAGAAACCAGTTGAATCATAAGAAAAATGCCGAACTATAGTGAAAGCTTCCATCGAAGATCGAGCTCACGAGGATATTTGGCAATGCTTTAAGGAAATCGCCAACGGCTCTGATGCTGATTCTAGTGTTTCTAGTGATGTGGATAGCCAAACGATTGGTAGACAAGGCAGCGAACGTACAAGAAAAAAGGCAGCGATTTATGAACTAGAAATAGAGAAATATTTGCAGCTACCTCTTATATCCAGACAAGAAGATCCCTTAACTTGGTGGAAGTATAGCCGCAAAGAATTTCCAAATTTGTTTACACTGGCAATGAAGTATCTCTGCGCGCCACCTTCCTCAGTGAACTCGGAAAGAGTAAAGAGTTGCCCGATAATGCGGAAATGCTTCTTTTCGTAATGAAAAATATACAGATTGTTAACTTTGATTACTAGTTAGACACTTTTAAATTGGATTACAAAAATACAAAATCTGGGTTAAATTTCTAAATTGAATCTCTATAATCGATATCCGGAATCCGGTCGGATATTAGCCAGTATCCGGCCGGATAACCGGATAACCAAAAAACGGCCGGATAGGCGGATTCCGGATATATACCGGATACCCGGCACATCCCTAGTAAGAATCTATTCATCAAGTCCTATGCGAGTTTCCAGTTCTCTTGCATTTGGAATATTGCTTTTGTAGCAGTTTAGCAGGGATAACGACAGCGACAGTAAATGGTTTAACGAACATTATAATAACTATTTGAAATAACCCCTGTTCGAGAAATGAGCTTCTTCTTGGCACTCATAAGAGTACATTCACAATGGACAAACTTGCTTCCGAGTGGAAGTATAAAAACTCAATGCACCCCTTTAAAATATATCATATCCTGACCTGACCTATCGATACATGAAATCGTCAATAAAATCTTTACCATAACTTCGGATGGTTTTGGACAGGTTAGCAGGAATATAGCAGTTTATTGAAGCTTCTATTAAACTCAAATCGGTTTTATGTAAAACTTGATCATTCAAAATAAAAAGACCATAGCACAAAAACAGATCGGTCGATTGTTGCCTCGGGTCAAATTCCATTCTCTATGGAGACTCAATGCATCATTGCCAATCTCTGCAAAACCATTTCACTTTCTTTCCTTATTTCATTTAATTTGTGTTTCCATTTTTTCATTAGCGCTTAGTTGCTATATTCATTAAGCAAATAGAGTCGATTAACATTTGAACAAAAAAACTAAGTAGACAACTAATAAAAGTAGCAGATAATTGCAGCAAGCGCGAGTGTTAGTGAGTAAAACTTGTTTTAATGAGTAACAACTAAAAACAAATGAGTGCGTGTAGCTGTTAGTTGCAACTGGATCCGTGGATATACAAACACCCAGACAAACACATTCACATATTTAACTCTGTCACATTTTCATTTTTAGTATATTTGTTGTTAAATTTTATTGCCAATATCACGTTTGTGGTTGCAACTAATTCTCTTTATACCCCAACTATTCTCGCTTCGCCTTCATTTCTATTGCAATTGTATGCAGTTTAATGAAGTACATTAGTCGCCGCGTGTTGCAGTGTTTTCACTAGGATTTCCATTATCATTATGCAATGATTAACTTAAAATGTCTTGCAGTCGTTCATCGTTAGTGTAATTAACTAAGGAGCTATGGTGTTTAATTTTTATTGGTAAACCGTTTTAGAGGAGGAAAGTTTCGTGAAAAGGAAGCGACCATAGCTATTTCACTTGAATAGCGAGGAATGGAGGTTGAAGGCAAAAATGTGAATAGAAAAGCTGAATACTCTTTGGATGACAATAAGTATGAATGTGGAGGAAAATATCTTGAGAAGATAAGCTTTACATTCGGCTACAAGTGGGCGTATGCAGCCTTGGAGCAAGCGGCTCGCTACATAAATTAACATCAAAACTCTCCCTGCAATATGTAGATTGTGCACTGGGTTTGGGAGCCGTAAGGTAAAAAACAAATCCAATGAATATCCCAAATCCCTTGATGACCCACCACACGAAACAGGGACCTCCTTTTACGGATATGCGCTTGGAATGTCCGACCTCTCTACAGGAAAGGTGCCTAAATCTGGTTTGCTGACAGGAAATGCGATGGACAGGGCGTAACAACTAAATATTACAGCTGTCACGAGAGGCGCACAAATTTGGTGCAGGATTTTTAGTTTGGCGGAAGCCTCGACAGACAAATAGAAAAGAAAAAACACGAAAGAAAACGAAAAATAAAATCTAAAAGAAAAAGAAAGAGAAAAAGCGAAATTAAAAGAAAAAGGC